GAGAGAGAGAGAGAGAGAGAGAGAGAGAGAGAGAGAGAGAGAGAGAGAGAGAGAGGAGGGAAAACACGGCGGTCCAAAAGCGGGATAAAGGCGGCGTGGAGTGTGGAGGGTGTGGAGTGGCTCCTAGGCCACCCTACCGTGTGGCGTAACTCCCCGACCCGGCTGATTCGAGCCTCGGCCTCCAGCGGACGCAGCTCACCGCCCTGCCCAGAGCGCGTGTGTCGCTGTTTGAAGTGGGTCTATTTAACTTTCCTCTTCCTAGAATCCCCGCTGGTCTCCTTCTGAACCCGGTGGTCCGACCGGGGCGCAGCAGCATCAGGCGAGATCAGCTCATCAGGTCGGCTACAGACCGCCCCGCCCCACCCCCGCCCGAGCCCACCTCCCCACGCCACGGGGAACGCGGGGATGAGGCGAGCTCCGTGGAAATCCCTGGTCGAGCAGGTTCGACGGCAGCATAAATTCGTCGGCGAAATCGTCTGCGGTGTGCATTTTGTGGAATGCAGCCAGGGCCTCGGCCCGCAGCACTTGCAGATCGAAGCCGACTCTCCCTCCTCTCGCCGACCCAACATCCATCTATATTCCCACCGGTCTGCTATAGTCCTTCCGCAGATAATTCACCGCAATCCGCTGGCTTCATTCCATGTCGTTCCATGTCACTGTCTTAACATAAATCGATGGATGGGATCGATATGCAATCAGTCGGGAGATTAGCGCGACGGGAACTGTTTATGTAATATTTGCCCCTGCAGTCTGTGGCCCTGCTTATTTAGATAAAAAATAATAATAAAAAAGATACGCATGGCAGCAACTGTGCACGATCACGACGATGAAAGTAAAGAGAGACCGGAGCCGCGCAACGACAGGAGGAACATCGCACAAGGCGAGATATCCCGCGAAAGGAGAAAATGTTTGGGTTTTAGCGTGAGGCAGGGTGTTCGTTAGCGTTGGGTCCAGACTCATTACAGCAGCGTGTTTGCAGACCAATCCAGCTGCCCGGCCGGATGAGGGCGATGCGAGGCGGGCCACAAGGCCGCGAGGTGAGCAGCGGGCCGAGCAGCGCGGCGAGCAGCGCGGCGAGCAGCCGAACGCGGCAAAGGACCAAATGAGCGAACCGGGGGAACTTTGTACAGGGGCAAAGGGAATTCGCTCCACGACGCGGCCCTCCCCGCAGCCGCGACTCCAGGGTATCGGGCGATAGACATTCAGAAACTTTAATAAAGTTAGTAAAGACACTAGAAAAGTAACGTTACCAGAGTGGCCGTGAGATACAAACAATCGCTTTAAAGCGACACCACGAAACGAACTGCATTCACCCGCTGGTTAGGTCGAGCTAAACACACGGTCGAGCCAGTCAATTTTAATTCGGTTTAAATTTAAATCTATGTCTCTTTCACCGCCGTTTCCCCCTCTCTCTCTCACACACACACACATGAGCTTATTTTCAAGTTTTGGTGTGACGCCGCGCCATGCCAAAGGACGTAAAATCATATCAGCAGCCAACTTTATTACCGCTGAGATTGCAAAGTTTCCTCTATGCTCTCTCTCGCTCTCTCTAACGCTCTCATACAGACCTTTAGGCACTCACGCACACACACACACACGCGCGCAGGTTACGGCCCCTCTACCCCTCTCCCTCTTTGGCACTCAGCGCTGTTGACAGGCGAGTCTTGATTGAGGCCGGCTGCGAGGAGAAGCGCCACTCTACCTCTCATCGCAATAAGTTGTGACACTCCTGTAAGTAGAACCGCCAGCCGGGGCCACTGAAAGGGAGAGGGAATATTTCGACGGTAGGCGGGAGCAGCGTGGACTGCCCGACTACGGCCACGGCACGGCACCACCCACCGCCCAGCCCGATGCGAGGATCCAACTTGTAAAGTAGACCCAGTATACACTTTTATTCGTCAACTTTTTTTATTGCCCCTTATACCCGACGAGGCAACGCCAAATGCGGGATCCAGGCCGCACTCGAAGCCCTCCACAGCGTGCTGCTCAAGCCCACCCACGATAAAGAAAGTAAAAGATTGTCTACAAATAAGCTATGGTCTGGTCCGGGTCTGGTGCGTGCTCAGAAACAAATAAGGACGGGTCTCTGAGGTACGGTAACTAGCCAAGACCTTCGGTCCTAATGCTGAGCTTGCGATAGTTCCAGAAGTAACAAACACTGCCGTACCGGCTACATATCTATATCTATATTGATCATGGATAATCGCTGTAGCTGTAGCTAGTGTAATAAAGTCTGTAGCTTAAATTGCGTCTTGGAGCGTGACCGAGTCTGGGCCCATCCTGGTTTAACATGGGCTTCGTAAGCTCAGCAATAAATTTAAAACATTGATATACAGTATAGTTAAGAGTGCGCGACCTTGTACTGATGTCGCGTGGCTGGACTATAGATTGATAGACAAGGGCCAGCCCAGCTCAGGGGATGAGAGAAAAGAGAAAGAGAGGAGAAATAGAAAGTAGAGAGACGGAGTGGGGAGGGAAAAGGGCGAAAAGAGGAAGAGGGGAAAAAGGGGGGGGGGGGCACAAGGGAAAAGAAAGAGAGAAAGACGTGCTGAAAAAATTCTTGAGGTTATTGCGATCCCGGGTTTGGAGAGGGCTCAAAGGAGCCCATGGCTGGGGCTGGGGCGGGGGCGGTAGGATCGTAGGGCCGCACATACCGAGTAGAAGCTCCCGCTTCCTTCTTTAAATATATTTTTCCACTTGTCTGTATCTGTACCCAGCATTGCCGCTCCGTCCCTTGCCGGCCGGTCCGGCCCTTTCTCTCCGGAGGGCTCAATGATCGACGGGCACGCTGAGGTCATCACTCCCCTTCGCCCCCAACCCCATCCGGCCGAGAGGTATCGACTTACGCGGCGGGTGTTCGGTTACGTGATCGCCCATTGACAGAATTGTGTAAGAACTGCGCACAGCCCACATTATGCGATAATGATTTATTACCATCATGATTACGCATGTATAACGACGACAGTATTTTTGTGATAATTTAAAGCTACGGCATAAGTGTGTTTTTCGAGTTCATTTTTTCTTTTCTAGCTGGATCGGGCGCGCGTGAATAGGATTTGCTATACGGCAAGGCACGTAGCGCGGTGAGGCACGCGAGTTCTCCCTCTAGAAAGACTGAGATATATACAAACCGCAGGAGGAGGAAAAAGGGAAGGCAGAGAGTGGAAACGCACCGGCCCTCCGGACCCTCCGCTCGCCCATCCTCGGCGCTCATATTGCCCGGCCGGGAGAGTTATCGTGCGTCCATTCTGACCGAATGCACACCAGCGTCCAGCGATTTCGTCCCCCCCTCGGCCCATCTCTCTTCTTTATTTCTTCCTTCCCCCACAGCAGAGCCGAGCAGAGCGCACTAGGCGCGCACGCTGCAGCAGACCGCACGGCTGCGGCCGGCGCACTGCGACCCAATCTCTTTCTCATTGCACCTCCCCCCCCCTCTCTCTCTCTCTCTCTCTCTCTCTCTCTCTCTCTCTCTCTCTCTGTCTCCCTCCCTCGTCATGAACCAGAACTACTGGCTGGCTGGCGCTGGACATAAATTCCTTTTTATGCCGTCTGGGAAGGCCTTTGCCGCAGCGCCTCTCTCCTCCTGTCACACCCGCGCTCTCTGCTCGCGCCGGTCCAGCAGAACCAGCTCCAGCCTCCAAGCAGCAGACAGACCTACACACACGTGAACGCCAGATGATTGCAACCAACAATTGGGCCGCTGCTGCTAGGTCTTTCCCCACAATGATTTCCCTCGACGCCACTTGTAGAGCCGAGCTGCTCCTCCGCCCCCTCCCTCCCGCCCGCCGGCTAACGCACTCCCCCTCAGCAAACCTCAGCCACGAGATGTCCGTTAGGGTCCCGGGCCTGGTCGCGGGGGGCCCCGAGCGCGCGGGCCAGCCCAGGCCGCAGGCCGCCTGGGCCCATAAATCCCAAAGAAAGGCAGGCAGCGCGCGGTGCGGGGCGAACAAAGCGTGGCGCCTGGCGCCAGGTTGTTTGGGGGAGAGGGGGGGGGGCATGGTATATGAAGTGTCATCGCGTGCAGGCGCGGCAGAGGGCGCGCGGGGGGGCCCTAATGCAATGGCACAGCCGCACGCAAAGTGTGTCACGGTCGCCGCAGCTCCAAAAGAAAAAAATTATGTACCTTTTGGTTGTCATTTTTGTAATGTTCACCCCCCCCAAAAAAAAACAACAACAAAAAAACAGGAATTCTTGGACCAAATACATTGTACGACTTGCATTCATCGCTTGAAGGTATCTGCACTGACAAATCCGCGGGGATTGTCACTTTCGTAATACAATCCCCACCTACGCTATGTGTTGCCAGGGTGTCGAGCGGTGACCTAATATTAAATTCAAGGGTTTTTCCCGGGTTTTCCCAGGGCAAAATAGTCAAAATTCAAGGGTTTTGAAAGACTTTTTGGAAACAAAAAATTGCTCATAGGGGTTACTTTTCTTAACAAAAGTCAGAAAATTATATCACTAAAAGTGTTCGTCCATCTACAGAGCAGGAATGGAAACAAAAAAGGTGAGACGTGCGCAGAGAGTTGAAACACGGAGATCAACTGCTCAGTGACGAGGACTGTGCGCACTTTTTCCCGGGTTTTGAGCAAAATTCAAGGGTTTTTCCCGGGTTTTTCCCGAACGAATTAATTCAAGGGTTTTTCCCGGGTTTTCAAGGATTCCAGGGTCGCTCGACACCCTGGTTGCGGCGTAGTGTAACGTCTAAGGGATCAAGACGATTCACCCAATGCCTTTCATCGAAAACAATATTACCCAAAAGTCTATGCATGCAATCTCCATTCAATCATTTTCTATTTCGCGAACTTGATTTAAGTTATAATAAGGTGGCATAAAACCTCCATGCACGCGCCAGAATTATTTTTTTTTTTTAAATGACTAACTGCATGGAAATAGTTTTAACCCGGTATAATTATTGACTAAACGGAGCCTGTATGCATATCGACATAAATTTTCCTGCTAACCAGAGATAGAGAGTGGACGAGGTTTGTTTGCGCACGAAAGAGAATTGGACACGTCTGGCGCAGGGCAGGGGGTATGGCGAGCCAGCCGTGCCGTGCTCGGGACAGCTCATATACAACGTAACACATATCCCTGTTGCGGCCGCAGGTGCCACAGGTGTCGTCCGATGTACCGTGCCAGCAAGATTTAGTTTCCCCTCCCGCCGGCTCCGCTCGGCCCCTCTCTCTTTCCCTCTCTGTCTGTCTGTCTGTCTGTCTCTCTCTCTCTCGCACACACGATACCAAAGTAAAGTACTTTTCGGGCAAACGAGCCCCAGGAGCGCCGTCCTTTCCACCCTGTCCATACTGTCCCCACTGCTGCTGCTTGGATTACGGGATTACATCATGTCGCGCGGCTTACGCCAGAAACCCCCTCCCAGGATTGGATTCCGATACCCCGCCCGTGCAATAATATTGGTTCCGTCTGAAACCCTCGCATATTCGAGGCGAACAGCCCGCCGGAACAACCTTGTTTAAGAATCATCTCATTGGAACCAAACGTCCTCGCAGACTATTCAAGACTCTCGGGCTAAAAAAAAAAACCTCTTCAGTTTTTCGTTTGGTTATTAAAGTAGCGCTGCACCGATGGTCAACGTATAAATGTTGTCACTGAAATCCGTTTTGTGATACTTTTACTGAATCTTTGCGATATGGTGTTTTGCGATTCCCACGCTAATGGGCATGATTACTCCAAAAAATGTGATAAATGTATCACATTTCTACTGATAAAATCATCACAAAAAATTTAATGAAATAATTTTTGTGATAAAAGTATCACAATGATGTGATACTTTTATCACATTTTTGGGGGTTATCATGCCCTTTACACTGTAAATAATACCGTCGTAAATTTACGAAAAAAATTAAAACTCGAATTATAATTGAAGTTGCAAATTTACGCGAGAGCACATTTTTTACTCGCCAATGGATTTGAAGTCGATACGTACTGCATCTATTTTTACGATTCCAAATTGTAATTTTACAACTTGCGTCAAAGACACTTTCCTATAAACCTCCCTAAAATTTCACGGTGTAGCGTGCGAATCGCAAAACACCAGTTATCGCATGGTTTTGTGTTAAAAGTATCGCAAAATCAGACTTAGGGGTAGAAAATGAATCGCATTTAGACGCGGAGAGAAGAAAAAAAAATAACAAGATGCTCATTTTCACTGACCGGTGGACGACGTGTTTGGTCTGCAAGTAGTCGAGCGCGAGGGCCAGCTCGCACACGTACAGCTTGACGCACTCCTCGGAGAACGGCACGTCGTGCATGACGTGGTAGCGCAGGTCACCCCCCAGCAGCAGGTCTGAGACGATGAACAAGTCCTCCTCGTCTGGAACCAAACAAAATAGAATTTCTTTAAGAAAACATACGATACTTTGCGCAAAACTCGAAGCAAAACAAAAAATAAGATAATACGAAGTATTTATTAGCACGTCAGAAATTAAACGAGCTGCTAAGTCATTTACTTTAGCACAGTTATTTAGCACATTACACCTCTTCTATTTCGCTCCGAACACCTTCGTTCTGCTCGATCCACTGCCCTCTCTGCACGCCGACCTTCGCTCACGACGCTTTTTCTCCGGGGAGAGCCTCCGGGGGGAGCCTCCCAGCGCCGCCCGTGACCAGGTAGTTAATTACTTTAGTAATGAGGCCATTCATTTCGTTAATCTAGCTCAAAGGGCGAGTAGTGGAGCGGAAAGTGAGAGCGAGCGAGAGGAAAGGTCCGGAGGAGAAACGGAGGGCAAGCAGCGAAGGGGGATTTAAGGGGGGCAGGAAGGGCCCTGGCGGAAGCACGGGGGAAAACGAGAGAAGGGCAGGAATCATTACGAAGGACAGCCATTCTTTACCCGCCTTTACGCGCGTGCGAGCTCCGCTGGAGCCAGACGTTCGTACACACCACACGGTGTGTTACTCAATATTAGATTTGTATTGCAACGTCTGATATGGGGTGCGGCCAAAGTCTCCGTCTCGCAGCCTCGCAGCCCCAACAATAACACAGGAGTGGCACAGCGAATGGACAGGTGCAATTTTCATGATACTCCGTCAGGAGCGGGCCGCGCGCCGTGAAAGCCAGTCCATATTTTATGAGAGACGAATGAGCACTCACCTCCACCCCTCCCTATCCCCTCCCCTCCACTGGAAAAACAAAAGTGCTCAGTCGCACCTTCAAAAAGCGTTAAGGGCGCTCTGGAAACTCAAGTATGAAATACGGCACGAGATACGGCATGAGTTTTAAAGTGCAGCCGTATCAATGGTACTGCAATTTCATGTGTGATACAACTATTTGTGTACTGCAGTTTTAAGTGTAGAAAACAGGTAGAATTGACCGTGGTACCGAGGGACCTACAACTCGCCTCAACCATGTACTTGTGAGAATAGATTGTATCCACCTGGCGAAGGAGGAGACGTGCGGAGAGCGATCGCTAGTTGCTAGACCACGCCTAAGGAACACCCAACCCGACCATCACTCCCTCGACTCCGTTTTCAATTAATAGGGCTGAAAAGCAGCCAAGGACTATGGGTCTAGGGGCCCGATCTGGAAACTGCTCCGAGGGCCCGAAAAGATACCTCTTTTGCCCGCAAGGGGCCCCAAAAGATACCTATTCGCCTGGGGCCCGGTCGGGGTTTCCCACCTAACAAACCCGGGCCAGTCCGTGGCTTCTGAAAAGGTAATCGCTGAGCGAAGCTCAGTCCAAGTCGATGAGGGGTCAGGCGGTGTCTCCGTCGTGAGTCTGTCTGTCTGTCTGTGTGTCACATTCCGTATCTCCTCAAAATGTGCTGCACTGACAGCGAGAAGCGGGTTAGTCTAAGAATCGAGAATTAACGTTGATTATATGTGTGCATAATTGCATGCATTGGTCAGCTTTGAAATATTCAAGCGTTTAATTTGAACTCGCGCGCAGTTCGTTGGTATGTTGGCAGCACTGCACTCGAGTGGGTGAAAAGCGCCGGCGGCTCCGGCGCTCACTTCGCGAGTTTGATACTCTCTCACAAGTGATTTAATTGTCAGATCGTCAAACAGGGTGTGATATTTTTAGTTTTAGAGTTGCGGAACTGGACCTACGAAGTTTCGCGAGTGTCTGGTGAGAAGAAACGAAAGTGATATTTCAAATGGTTTACGTGTTTACTTACGTAAGTTGGAGGGGGGAGGGGGTATTGGTTCGGGAAAAATGTGAAAAGGTAACTGTTGTTTCGAGTTCATCTTGACAAAAGAAAACGAAAATGTTTTATGCTCCAAGACGATCGGAATCGAAATGGCAGAGTTATTGCCCCCCAAATTGACTATTTGGTCGTTTTGGCATACATTTACCCCTTTGGAGGCTAATAACTTTGCCATTTCGACTCTGATCGGCTTTGAGCATAAGACATTTCCTTTTTAATTCTGAAAAAGGAATTCAAGTCTTGTATTACACTTTTAATTTTGTAATTTCTAAAAAAATCCTAATTTTCAATTTTGTTATTTTAACAAAATGGAATGGTGTTTACTAGTAGAATGATTGGAAGTCGCCTAATCTTTCAATAGAACTTGTCAAAACGATTTTAAAACACACAACTTATTTTTAAGATAGCAATGGACTTGCAAAGGACCGAACAATATTATAGCCAATCTCGCAAACTCAGGTAGGATAGGCCCATCGAAATCAGAACAAAGTATATCATTTTCTTAAATTGATAAGCTTTGTCTGCAGTCACATTATGTTTAATGATATCCAATAAAATGGTGGGAGCATTGAAATTAAACTCTTTGATACGATACACTATAGAACTTTCAATGAAATATACTTCAGCGACTCGTGATCCATCAAATGTCTCAGAGAGATCTGATAAAAATAAATCAAAAAGCGATAAGTTGTATCTGTCGTAGGAGAGAAGTTTAAATGTATTTTGAAATTAAATTTAATATTAGGGTATTTATTTCACTTCAACCAGAGGCAATCCAATAGAATTTCACCTTAAAAAAATAAATGGAATTAAATGAAATGGGAGCATCATGCTTCATATGGCATCACACAAAAGGGTAAATTAAGTAGGGGGAGGGCAGTGGGGATAGGAAGGGACAGTAGCAGACATGTTCTGTAGGTGAACTGCAGGAGTGCCGCCCCCCCCCCTTCCCCCCTATATCCAGCCACTGTTTCAGTTATGTGTTTACCAATACCAATCAACCATGTATTTTGATGGGGTGCACGGTAGGTTGCCTCAATGCACATTACAGGGATCTTGAGAAAAAGTCCTTATCCCTTATACGGCTCACTATAGAGACGGAATAATTAGAAGCGCCCCCCCCCCTCCCAATCTCTTACGTTCAAGGAGCAGACGACCGGTTGCCTACCTACTAGGCGGACCCTCATTCGGCATAGTTTTGTTCTATATATTTTTTGTGGGTTCTATAAATTTAATGCACTTCGCTCAGCTACCCCGTGCACAATGTTAACGCACGGGGCCCTACGTAGGCCTGCGTTAGCAGCATGTAGCCGCGGCGTGGAGCCGATCTCTACCTCGCCGACGGCGCCGAGGCCGTTGTAGACGTCCACCCCGGTGGCGGGCCGCGACCGGTGGCGCGCCGCGGCCCTCTTCTACCCTATTGCCCTTTCAACCGTTAAGAACAACTGGGTACAGAACATGCGATTTTTTTAAATTAATTTTATTTTGTTTGGATGGGGGGTGTGTTCTTTACCATGTTTATATGGCAAAACTTGGTGCAATATTGTGTCCGTACCGATCTAGTCCCAAGTTGGGGTACATTTTACCAAAATGCGCCCAATTAATGGCTTCTTTTCGAACTTAGTCGCCAAATCCACAGTTTTGGTCTGATCGCACCCGGACAAAGTGCTTCCTCGTCAGTGGCACGAGAGGAAAAGTACTGAAAGCACGGTAAAAACGACGTCAGTTTTTGAAGAAAGAGGGAAAACTTTGAGGGGCTCCCATATCTGAGGAAAACTACCCCGATCTCACCTCGGATTTTGAGGAATCTCCTCAAAAAATTAGGAAACATCCCACATTTTTTGAGGAGACTTCCTCGAAATCTGGTGAGTTTTCCTCAAACTTAGGAAGTTCCCTCAAAGTTTTCCATTTTTCCTCAAAAAATGAGACGTCGTTTTTACCGTGAGTGTTCAATGTCGGTCACCTCAACTTTAACAGTCGTCCGGAATTCACTGTTCCTCCTCTGCTAGGCGTTTTATCCGATTCCGAGCTGTGTGCTTAGTGGTCCAGGTGCTCGCCCCGCCCCGCCCCACACCTGCCGTCCATTGATTGATGTGCCCGTTGGGCAAAAAGGCTCTTCTCTGCCACTCTCCCCCGTTGCACCCCTTCTTCTCTCCCAAGTTCGACTCCCCCTAGTTCCTTCTTATTCTGTTACGACCCCTGAAGCGCAAGAGTAGAGAAAGGAAAAGGTCGGGCTGTCTGGCGTAAATCCAGCACATCGGATATTAAACGAATTAGTTGATTCAGTTTACTATCGCATTTAAAATGAAAGCTTCATCCACTTAAATCGGATTGGCGCATCCCCTGCCGGCACTGTTGCCGAGCGTTGAGAAATAAGAGGAAATGATGGTTGGAAAATAGAGTTCTTCGTCGCCTAGCCGGGGAGGATAGGCGGTAAAATAGAGCGCAATGCAAAATACGATTCATGTAGAAATAGAAATTAGGACATGTATTTTATTTGTACTCCTGCTTCTTAAGAATGACATGACACCAGCCCCGCATTTAATTTAACCGATTTAAAAGGCACTTACACAGATACAATTCACAGCGTTTGATCTCGCGTTTAAACGTGCATTGCCCAAGTACATTTCCAGACGAAATTGTCGTTGCACCCATGCAAATAATGGACATCGTACATATTTGTTGTACCAAGTGGTCCCTAATACTACTCCGCCACGCTGACATCTTTGCCATCAGGAATAAGATTGACCGCGAGACCGCGAGTCTCTCATCCTCATCTTGCACATGGTACCCGCAGGTCCCATCCGTCCGTATGGCGCCATGGGCCTGGCCCCGCCCCTGTCGCCGCCCCCGCCTCCCCCGCCGCCCCCAACCTGTTGAGTTGGTGAGTCGCGGACCTGTTGATCGGTAGGCCCTGCCCTGTACCCCCCCCCCTCCCCGGTAAAGTAGTGACGTGGCGAGGGATGTGAGAGATAAGACACAATGTGTGCGTGGAGTGAATCCCAGCCAGCATACTGGCGCATGTACGATAGCGAGTGACAAGAGTAAGCGATGATTCTGCGGTGCGCACCAGGCACGAACAACAACAACAACAACAACAAAACAATCCGATCAAAAGAAAAGAAAGAACATAAAACGGACTTTAAGAAGATAAGAGGCTGGTGGAAA